CTCCGATCCGGACTCCGATGTATTTGAGGGCCTTGATGGTGCCGATCGCACCCTGGCGTATCGTGCTATGATTGACTGCGTGCTTGCCACGGATATGGCCAAGCATAATGAGCTGTTAAATTTGTTTCTTGTATCTATGGAAAAACCGTATTCAATTGAAGATACCACCGCCAGGCAGATGATCATGGACGTAATAGTGAAGGCGGGTGATATTTCGAATGTAACGAAGCCGTTTGACATTTCTCGCTTGTGGGCTATGTCGGTGACAGAGGAGTTCTACCGTCAGGGTGACATGGAGAAGGAGAAGGGTGTGGAGGTGCTGCCCATGTTTGATCGTTCCAAGAACACGGAGTTGGCCAAGGGCCAGATTGGCTTCATTGACTTTGTTGCCAAGCCGTTTTTCAAGAAGGTTGTGGATGCCTGCCTCACTGGCATGCAATGGACTGTCGACCGTATAAACAGTAACCGTGCACAGTGGGAACTGACACTTGAAGTAAAGTAGTAATGGGGAAGAGGTGCAAGGAAGTCCATAAAAGAGGTGCTGGTAAAGTTTGCAAATGTGGGTGGTTATTATTATTGTATTAACGGAGAAGAATGTTTTGGGGTTTATCTGCGTGTATTTCAGTTATCCACCATGAGCTTGCAGGGCCGTTAGCCTTGGTGGCTTTAAGCTTTTGTATCGCCCTTTGAATGGCTTGAACGGGTTCTTGCATTTCTTCGTATGACTGTGTGAGGTTGTGATTGCCTCTCCGCACCTTTCTGAGATGTGCTGCAAGGGTTATGTATATATTTTGTCGCTGATAATGTATGCCTGATGCGGTCTTTGTTTTTTTTTTCTACTTGTCCTTTTTGTATGTTTTTTGTTTTTGCTTTTTGGGCATTTTTCTGTCGAGGCATGCGGGCTTTTGGGCCACTTATGTCATTCTCGTATTGCGTCTTTTTACTCACTTTTTTTTTTGTTGATTGCAGTTGGGGAGGAAGACGATGTATGCGCTTTTTTTTCCCGTCGGCTTGTTCTCCTCTCCCTTTTCCTTATGGGCTGTTTCTACATGGATTGTTGCGTCGTCGGTGCATGCGGTTTGTACGAGAGAAAAGAAGGTGGTGGGGAGGGATTTTTTTTTGTTCTGTGAGAGCTGTGGGGCACCCCCCCCCCCCCAGCCACGGCAGTTTTTCTCTGGAGGAGGGAAGCTGAAATGTGTGCTTCGAGCTTAGCCCAGTTCCACGTGCACGTCTGCATGCGCGTGTGCGCCTGTCTCTCACTTTGTCGGCGTTGTTGTTTTTTGTTGTTTTTTACGTACACATGGCTGCTATGTATGTTTTATTGTGTGGGGAACAGCTGGCAGGAGCCATACACCAATGAAACGGAGAGAGAACAGAGGCGAGTACAAGCGACGAATGAAGTAAATTGGCACCCATAATGCGCCCAAAACGTGTGCGTTTCATTTGTTTTTTTTTGTTTTTTTTTCGTCTCGCATTCACTCCCGCATGTCACGGATTGTGAAGGCGATGAAAGTAAGTAGGGAAACTAATGCATGGACAGATAGAAGGCAATGTGGGGGGTCCTGCCGCTGCCACCGCTGTGGAAAGAACGATGGCGGCATTGGTGGTGCCGCACAGATGTTCTTGTGTATGCTTTTCTGTGCGTAGTTCACTCTCTTTTCGTTTCTTTCTTCCCGTAAAAAGAGGAATTGTTTTTTTTTGTTTTTTTTACTTCATACACTGTCCTACTTGCGTGATGGTGGGGACGGGCGGTCGTCACCTGCTTGAGGCATTAACCCTCTGTGAGGTAATTCTTTCCCGCTACAAGCGATGCAACTTGTATCTTGACGAAGCAGAAAAAAATGCGTTCCATGCGCTTTCTGGACGATTTCATGAAATTGCGCACGGCACAATGAAGGACACTACTGCTGTATACGTCAAGCAGCACGACGGGGTGAACTTGGCTCCGGTTGTTCCTACGATTGGAGTGGCGGATCAGTCTCCCATTGAATGCGTTACCAGGCTAATGGAGAAATGCATTGACTTGTCCCGTCCCATTAAGGAAGTTCTGATGATGCTCAACGAACAGCTATCCGCAGTGCTGCGGGCCAGCCATACCCGCACCTACTACCTGGACCCCGGTGACGAGCTGCTTCTCGACCCTGTGAATGGAGTGGCAGCGCCAGCAGATGAAAGCACACCGTTGGGTAAAACCCTAACCTCGATGGAAGCCTTCAGCATCGCCGGCACGCTCTACATACCACTGTCGCACAATGGCAGAGTTCTCGGCTGTGTCGAAAGCCCTTCCGGTAGGATGGACTACCACAGTCACACACTAATTGATAGTGTTCTGCGTGTAACGGCAACTGTTCTTCATAACGCCATCGAGTCGGAACGACTGAGCTGGAACAAAGAAAAGGCAGAGGCCATGCTGACAATGGCAACGCAGCTCGCTCGTGACAATCTAGACGAGGCCGTGCTTGCAAACTCGATCATGAACACCGCCAAGGCACTGACTGAAAGCGATCGCTGCAGTATCTTTCTTGTCAAGGAAGAGACACTAGAGGCCCACTTTGAAGATGGCAATATTGTCATCATCCCGATTGATGCGGGTATTGCGGGATTTGTATCCCAGACAGGTGAAATCGTTAACATTTCTGACGCGTATGCCGACGATCGATTTAACCGCGAGGTGGATAAGGCGACTGGATACCGCACCAAGACGATTCTCTGTATGCCTGTGATGTATGAGGGTTCGATTGTGGCCGTCGCCCAGCTGATCAACAAGCTGGACATGGTGACCGAGGGCGGCCTGAGGCTGCCACGCACCTTCGGCAAACGTGACGAGGAGCTTTTCCAGACCTTCTCTATGTTTGCAGGTGCCTCTCTGCGCAACTGTCGC